AACAAATGAACCAGAGTTCTTACTCGAGGCAAAAATGACCAGGCTCAAATTATCCTACTTTGGACACATGGTGTGGAGGCCTAGCTCTTTGGAGAAGGCTCTAATGCTGGGAAAGGTGGAAAGAAAAAGAAGAGGATGACCAGCAGCAAGGTGGAGAAACTCAGTTACGGTAGCAATGAGTGTACCATTTGAAGAGCTGAAGGATTAAGTTAGGGACAGATCATCATGGAGAAAATCTGTATGGTCACTAAAAGTTGACAACAACTTGATGGCACATAATCATCATTGTCAATATTAAATAATTGGCAAAAATGCTACATTTGGGATTCAACAATTGACATGCAATAGTATTTAATATTTGGCTATATTTGACATTTGGCAACATGCATCTTTATTTGGTTTATGTTAATCTTAAATATTACATATTGCATGTGCCTACCTATCAAATCAAAATAGCAAGGAAGCTATAGCAAATATTTAGGTAACAACCCAGATTATTTTCAAATGTTTAATGGCAAAACTAGAAATTCTGATAAATCCATATAGCAAGTTTGATTTTGGTCACTTTCCAAGGACAAAGTCCTATCCAGGGCACCATTGTCTGGCTAGCCTGTAACAAGATACAGAATGCAGAAATAATGGACAGAAGAATTTGTAGGTAGTCCAAAACCCATGCACAAGATTTAAGCAGGTAGGTAAAGAATGTATAAAACCAGAGTCCCAGATACGTGCAAAAATCAAGAATTAGGGCATCAACAATGTAAAAGCTGATACAAAGACACTGTGGTACCATCATTGGGAGTTTTGAAACTAGGGCTGCGAGTAACACCTATGTTTCAGTTGTCAGTCGTTAAGCCATTTAGAATAAAGTCTTCCTTTGGGCTCCCTTTCTGTGGCTGAGTGGAATTTTCTCTACTCACATTCCCTTCTTCACAAGGAGAGACCTATTCTTCAAATCTGCACTGTCTCTTTATCTAAAGTCCCCGTGAGACTGCCTAAGTCTCGTGGTGACTTCATCCTCTCTACCCAACTTGGGCGAAAATTATCTTGAGCTTCCCAATTCTGTTGCTATAGCAAGTGGGTCTTGGGGCACATCCAGGGCTCATCTTCATCTTTTGCACTTGATCTTCGCCTGAAGGCATGGCAGACTGACAGACTCCTTTCCTTTACATCTAAGCTAGGGATTTCCCAGCTTCTGCATTGTGCCGTATCTTAATTACAGCACGACTCAATGTTCTTAAGCAAGCAGGTTTTGCTAATTTACCAAATCATCTTGGCAACGATAAAACTTCTTCTCATAGCTGATTTTAGAGTGCCCTTTGAAGAAAACAAACTTGTAGAGGTCAAATGGTAAGGCAACTTTAGACATAAAATTTAGAAGTGTTGGCAGATCAGTTTAGTTCTGACCAAAATTATAATACAATAATACAATAATAAGTTAAAAATAGACTAAAACTTTAAAATGTTTCATGCCTTAGTTACCTTTTGGCAGTGTTTCCTGCTACACTTATGAAACTATTTTGAAGAAGAAATCTACGTAACATATTTACTTATACAGGATTTCACAATATTAAAGAGACCATTATGAGATAAGAAAGTAAGTATGGGAAAACACCAACTGAGAAAGATTACTTCCTTATGTGTTGTGGTGTCACTGATGTTGTGATCCTGGAACAGTTCTTCATATAACTAGTCTCCAAAAATAAATAAATATAAACACTCATGTTACGGTCCAATGCAGGTTTCTACATAAGTTTTAAGAATCTGGGAATTACTTAAAACGATCGAGATAGCCAGGAAAACTACATTAAAATGGCCAAAGGAAGGAAAAAGACAAATGGCAAACTTTTTTTCACTGTAATAACAGAAAACAAAATTCATAGTGCCCCACAATATGGAGAGGGGTATAATGATAGTGCAGTCATAGGACCTAGATTGCTTTTTAGGGGAAAAAAATAGGTTGTAGCATCAGTAGAAGTGAATATGTGTAGCTCAGGGTTGAACTGTGGAGTCCTTGGGGTTCTCTGAGCTTGGTTCTTTTCTTGCAAACGTTTCATTACCCGGCTAGGTAACATCTTCAGTGCTAAAATGGGATAAGCAAAGGTTACCACCAGGTACACAATCAAGCAGCAAACATGCCAATCAAAGAACTACCAGAGGAGCAAAACAACCCCCCCCCCTTACCAGCACTGGCAAGGCAGGCCACAGCACATAGATAGAGAGCAAACCCCATCTCATTTTAGCACTGAATATGTTACCTGGCCGGGTAATGAAACGTTTGCAAGAAAAGAACCAAGCTCAGAGAACCCCAAGGACTCCACAGGTTGTAGCATCCCAGACTAGACTAACACAGCATATTGTCTCCCAAATTCATAATGAACCTATGAAAGGAAAACATGCCAAATACCAATTCTATATGAGCAGAAGCCACAAGGAAAGTAATCATCCTTTTAAAGTAAAATCTGGTTGGTTTCTAGAAGTATAGTAGTAGAATATCTCCCATGACACTTTGAGGGGTCTAGTTAGATATACTGACAAAAAAATAAATTCCACTTTTATGAAAGTCTACTTTCATGTAGATGTTCTTGGAAGATGTTCCACCTTGATTGATTCAAGGTGAGTGCTATCCATGTCAGACTCTCCTCGGTCAGCTTGTTTAGTGATGATGATGATGATGACGACGGCATGGCTTATTGCTTGCTTGTCATTGGGGTGGGGGTGTCTGGATAATTGCACAGGTCTTTGATAAAAGTTCAGTTATCCAGGAGAATGAATTCCCTCCAACTGATCCCGTTCTGTATTAGAAGGTCTAGGTGAGTTAGATTGAACTGACCCCAGTTTAACTCCTCAGATGAAAAAATGTTTGGGTTAGGGTTAAGTAGGGATTATATTTTGGTGGAACTAAGATTAACACACAATTCTCCATTAGGCATGAAAGCCATCTGGGTAACTTTGCACCAGTCATTCTCTCTCAGCCCAACCCACCTGAGAGGGTTGTTGTTGTGGGGAGAAGAAGAGGCAGGAGTATTAGGTAAGTTCGCCACCTTGAGTTATATATAAACAAGGCAGGATAAAATTATTATTATTATGGTTGGTCGCACAAATATTTAGACTGGGTTTGGCATTTTTATCCACCTATCAAGTCCTTCCCAAGGACCTGGGATAGGTAGGTGTTGTTTGATGGTGTTAAAAATATCAATGTAGGATATAAGTTGTTCCAGGTAAAGCTGCCCTTTGCAATTTGTCAATGTTGATGGTGTTCAAGTGGTACTCCAGAAGATTTGGGATTGCACCTAAGGCACTTACTGGTACTATCTTTGCTTTCTTTTGCCACAGTCGTTCTATTTGCAGGTCTTTGTATTTTGTGATTTTCTCCAGTTCTTTCTCTTCTATTCTGCTGTCTCCAGGTATTGCAATGTCCACTATCCAGATTTTTTTTGTCTTTCTTATCAACAATTGTTAAGTCTCGGGTGTTATGTGGCAGGTGCTTGTCTGTTGGAATTCTAAAGTCCCAGAGCACTTTAGCTTCTTCATTTTCTATGACTTTGCCTGTTTGGTGGTCCCACCAGTTCTTGCTTGCAGGCAAATGGTATTTCTTGAAGATATTCCAGTGCACCGTTGTTGCTACTTTGTCATGCCATTGTTTGTAATCAGTCTGTGTGATCTTGCAGGAGCTAACTAGCTGGTCCACTGTTTTTTCAGCTTCTTTGCAGAGGCAGCATTTGCTGTCTGTTGCTGTCTTCTCGATTCTGGCTTTGTACGCACTTGTTCTTAAGGTTTGGTCTTGTGCAGCCAGAATTAGCCCCTCTGTCCCTTTCTTCAACTTTCCTGCTCTTATTATTAGATCTAGCTTTAGCCATTATCACAGGTTTGTGGGATCTGAACCATGTCTATGGGCTTTATTTGTATCCTACAGCCTTGAGGAAACTTCGTTGAGTGTGGCAAGGCAAAGACTTTGCCTTGGTTAGCCTGACTCCCTTTGGGCACTATACACTTTGTTTTGCTGGATTTACTAATCTTGGACAGTCCCTGCAAGTTTTCTTTACAAAGGCACCAGGCTAGAAAGCAGGAGATGGTGAGTTCTAGACCTGCCTTAAGCATGAAAGCCAGCTGGGTGACTTTGGGCCAGTCACTTCTCTCAGCCCAACTCACCTCACAGGGTTGTTGTTGTGGGGAAAATAGGAGGAGGAAGGA